ATTAGAAATTTTATAGATTTTAGATCTAAAATAAGGTAGTAGCTTCTTTCAGATGTAGCTTATTTTCAGAAATATACAGTATAGGTATAAAAAGCTCTAACAATGATATTTTGAAGATAAAGTAGTCTTAAGGGAATGGATCAAGAATTCAAACCTTCTCAACTAATATATATAGCAAAGATATAATAGTGATACAAGTATAAGTTGCATTACAAAGAGTTTAATTGGAGAATTCAAGTAATAGTAGATTACAGATATAGCATCTAGTATAAAACTTAGTAATAGAGAACTACTTAATTAGATGCTCAAAAGGTGTAAATATGACTAGAATGTACTCTCTAATCTAAAAGAAGTTTCTTTAAAGCTTTGGCTACAAGCTCTGACTTAGTATTTGAATAAAAATCATAGCCCCAAAGAGGCTAGTTGTAAAAAAAAAAAACAATTACAGTAATTAGTATTTTTAATTAAATAAAATAAATTATTAATGCCAGTATTATATTTACATTATTAACAACAGGAAGTGCAATATTTGCTACTTGAATATATTGTTCTTTATTTTGTTTTTTATAGTGATTAAGTCCAGCCATTGAATAATGAAATGTAATATTCATTATTGTTTGAGGATCTATATTATTGTTATTAAGCTTTTGAGCAGTATTCTTATACAAAGAATGATTGACTATATGTCAATTAGTACAATCAATTCTAGTTAATTCACAAATCATTTTTAGAACTTTGGATAATGAGTCATGATCTATATATAAAGATATATACTAATTTTCTTTTTTATTTCTATATATAATACAAGTTATAAATTAATACATATATATATATATAATAAATTTTATTTAACTAACCTTCTGAGTCTTTGTTGATTTGTAAAAATAAATTTGGTTCAACATTTGCTAATCATAAGCTTAAATACTTTTTGATATTATTGTATATTCTAATAACTCCTAATTTATCTGGAGGTATAATTTGTGAAGGTATATTATATCCAGATTCAGAAGTATTACAATGATAATATCTACTTTTGTAAGTTTTATCATGAATTATTAAAAGATTAAATCCTTTATTTTGATATTCTTCAAAATGTGATGCCATTATATCTAAATAAGATCTATTTTATTTAACAGCACAACAATCTATTCATAAAAAAACTTTACGAAATAATCTAATTAGTATATTTTTATCAAGTTCATAATGTCTAAATATTTGTTCCATTTCATCATTGCTTAGTAGGTCAGCATCTTGATATGCTCCATTATAAATTTCTTCTAATTCTCGCATTCTTAAGTGAAGAATATTATGAAAAGAAGCAAATTCAAAATCATCATGCAAGCTAAAAGATCCAGTCTCTTTAAACTTTTCAATAAAATATCTATTTAATATACATACTCCACTATATAATGAATCTGCTTTAAATTCTGTATTATCACGCTTTCTAATTACAATAACGAATTTAGAAAGTAAAACAGCAAGTATATGCTTATTATAAATTTAATCAATATTGAGATCTGGATGTGTATTTTTAATATATTCCTTGAGCTTTGAAATCCAAAGCTAATTACTTCTTTGAGTATTTTTTGAAATTGCAATTTGCTTATAATAACTTAATATATCATTCGGTGGGCATTAGTATTTAAATCTTCTAAGCTGTAATATTATTAAATTAAATTAATATATAATTTATTATATTAATATAAATAAATATTAATTATTAAATATATCAGATTTTTTCAACTTATTGAATTAATCAACACTCTTTCCAACAACCACTTGTACCAACCTAACACCAAAAGCAAATTGAAGATTCAAGCCTAGAAGTCAACAACAACTTGAAGTTTTTTTGATACGAACTGTTGTCAACGAAGTCTTTAAACGTGATACACCAAGAAGTGGGCGTTTTAGATGGTTTGTAAAGGGTC